GAAACAAACAGAAATCTGTCTAGACGAGAGGACAGCCAACAAAAGTGTGTGTTGGTTGATACGACCACGCTAAGACCCAACATGTCTGGGTTTAAGAGTTAATCCATCCCTTTTTCTGTCTCAGTGGACAAAACTGAGCATTCCACTGGCTGTACTCATCTTCCCTTTCTTCGTGGGCAAACCGAAAACTTCTAACGCACTGCACGAAGCCCGTGGCTCTTATTTTTATCACATCACGCTCCTCTTATCTGCCGCCATCTTTTCAAGGGTCCCCCATATAGCCCTTCAAATTTTTGTTGAACAGCAAGTTCTGGGAGACTATTATATATTTAGTCTTGTCCTTAGGTTTTCGCGGCTGGAGTTCAATATACAACCTCGCCTTTCGAAAGTAAGCCAAGCCGAATGTTGAAAATTATCCAACTATTTGACAAAACGTGCTGTTTACATCTCCAGGGTGAATATGTAAATGTTAAATTATTTTCTATATAACAGACGAGTGCTCGTCATCCGCTCTTAAGCCCCAAGATTCAACTATTCAGCATAAACAAATCCAAATTCCCTCCCATAATGCTGCCAAAACTATTACATATTAAACAAGACGATGGAAACTTTAATTCGAGCCGAAACATCGGATAGCTTTCAATGTTAAACCCCGCTCATCCTCGAAAGTCAATGTTGTACAGATGCTATTGACTCTATTCAAGTGAGTTGGCCTTTCCTCTTTGTACTCATCTGTTGGTCCAATTACTGAACAGACCCACGCATTTAACTTCTTCTCTATATGTACATGTATATATTTTTACGTTACCCACGTTTCTCTTCAGTTTGGGCCTAAAATATGGGGGACTGTCACTACTTTATAGCACTTGTTTATCTGCTGTGTAACTGTTAAATTTATCGGATCATATATCACTTTATACTGATATAATTTATAACATAGATGTATGAGAAATTTCACATCCGAAGCAGCACGTGAAACATTCTCTATCATCCAACGCAAACGCATTACTCCGAGGCGGACTGTACATTCTAATTTCAAAATCAATGCCACTGCTTTTTTTTTTTTTTAATATTTAGGTATCAAAATTGCGTGGGATACGAAATCGTACATACGATATTAAAATGCATGTTAAGGAAAATAGTGTACGGTTCTGGATTGGATTCATCTGGCTCAGTATAGCCATAGACCGGCCCTTTTGAACACTGTAATAATTTTTAGTTTTCCATAAAAGAAACGTAATTTATTGATCATATTAACGAATATCAATTTCGTACGAGGGTTTTGTTTAATTAAGTTTGTGTACAGTGTGGAAATATTAGGAACAGACCAATCATAACAAGTGTATAGAACACTCAAGTGTGGTTTCCGCAGTCTGATGTTGGGCTATCAGCAGACTTAGAATTAAATGTGCGATGCAATGTGTAAAGTGAGAATTATCGTTTAGATATTTGGACACCAAGCCGTTGATAGCAGCAGGTCCTCAAAGGGTAATGCGTAGCTGTGAATCGATGTGGATGCCCTAGATATGTGTGACGTCACTGTGAAATCGATGTGGCCACCATAGCACATCGCGGGAGAGACTTTTGTTCCTACCATACAATATCCCAGAGATCGGCCCTTGTGCGGATCTGATCTGCCTATGGCATGTGCACAGATACACGGCACTAGAATAAATAGTTTATTGTTTTTTTTTGTCGAAATGTGAATTTATTACGAAGAGTCACATTTTTGTGATCTGAAAACGTCGCTTCAGGATATTTTTATTTTAAAATATGGTCAACTGTGTAACGTAAGCTCGTCTTCTCCACGAGGAAGGTATTAATGAATTTCAACCCTGAAGATGAAGGGGGGCAATACGTTCGTCCGAAAAGCTGGTAACTACTTAAAATATTACATAAACGCGTCAAAACCTGGAAGATCACGCACAACATGATCTCATATTTAACTTATCTTTCGTTGACCGAGGTTTACGTATGTTCTGACAATCCTATATATTAAAAAATGGCATGTAGATTGGAAAACTGTTCCTGGTGTGAGTAAATGCTTATTGTAGTATGTTATCAAATAAATTTCAGAGGTAAAGTTACAATGATTCGTCAGTTAGCATCCTCGCGACAAGAGAATGTGTTTGAAAGGGCGTTGCTTTGTGGAATACTCTCACCTAACACAAGAAAATGCAGACGAAGAGATATATAATTTATAACATGATATATTATTGGGGTGACTAAATCATACAAAATTGTAGTCAAAGGTATCCAGAAAAAGAGGCGAATATAATTTTGAGACTCGTCTTCTATCATTCTGTCTGCATGTCGACTCCAAATTAACTGACAGCGTTATGCCAACAATTATGAAGCTTGCAGTCTACTTTTTATTTCTTCATTTTGCAACAAGCAACGTGATTTTTCCACTCTGTTGAGTGACCACTGACTCCCTGCTATTGCATGCATAATGCGTGTAGCCATTATGAGGAATTTACAGTTTAATATGGGTGAACTAGAACAGTGGTATTGAACCTGGGGTACGCTAAGACATCTTAAAGGGTACGTGAAATTTAATAAAAATATTATTTTATGATAAACACTGAATAATCAGGGACAGATTTAATACATTATTTTGGATGTAATTTATTTAATTTATTTTAGATGTAGATTATATACTATGTATAACTTGAATTATACACCAACAACTTTGGGGTGCAAAGTTGAAGAGAAATTATATCTGGGGGTACGCGAACAAAAAAGGTTGAATACCACTGAACTAGAGAATGAAGCTTGAAATTTCAAGACCAGTAAGTGAGTGCAACAACATGGGACAGGTGCTCGCTTCCGTGTTTGTGCTCACGTACACACAGGGGTATTCTTTAAAAGGAGAAGCACTCGTAGCGCTCATGTGTCGCACACACGCCGTATATGGCCGACAGAGCGGTCAATAGCTTTACGGGCGACTGCTGCAACCACAACTGTTCCTTCAGAGCCGTTAGTGGCTCGTAAAATGACGAGTTGCTTCTTGTAAACGCGGACAGTAACAGCTTGCAAAGGGTTTCGTTCCAATACCACCACAGAAAATTAAAAAAAAAAAAATAATTTATCGAGTAACATCACTAAAATCCATAATATTCCATCTTCAGGCCGAGGTTTCAATCCGATACCTCCTGAATGTTTATCAGTAGTTCTATTAGCCTCTGAACTGCGACGGTCTTTTGGATCCTTTAATGTTATATTTGTCCGCATTGCCTATCTGACAAGCGTTTATTCACTTGTTTCGATATTACTTTTACTATACGGTTCTCAGTTACCAAGAGATCAGCTCTTCATATACTGCATATTCTGCAACTCAAAGGGCGAAGGTTGAATTAGCATATTTCTGGTTTCAGGTAATAGCGAACTGTCTCCTGCTTCTCACCGCTAACTTGCTGGGCCTCACATCATGTTACCTGGCGGACAATCAGCAACGCAGAGCGTTCCTAGAAACCCGTCAGTCTCTCGAGATGAAGCTCGTCATCGAGGAGCAGTCTGCAGAACAGGTCTGTTGCTCCACTGACTCTTCATCCTCTGACGATAAAATATCAAGTTATATTCATGATGAGCTTCAGAAAGCTTACTGCCACGAAATTCACAAACGCCCAGTTTTCTGAACAAAAACCTAAGAATATAAAACACTGCAATTTCACTTTTTTTTCTTTGTTGGAATAAAACTCCTCTCACCAAAAGGGAACAAACTGATGGCGCTTCAGAATAAAATACTAGGAAAAATATATGGATCGAAGACGAGAGTAAATAATAAAAGGAGACTTTTAGCAAAAATAAGAGCTTTATAATCCGTACTCCTCAATAAACATCATTAGAGCGATCAAATAAAGAAGGTGAGATGGACAGAGAATGTAGCTCGCATAGGAGATAAAAAATGTCAGAAGTTCAGTCGGAAAACGTTGACGGAAAAAGAACATTTAGTAGACCTAGGCGAAGAGGGGTAGATGTCAGAATGGATGTTAATGTAACGAAGTGGATTCGTATGACTCAGGATAGGGTATAATGGAGGTAGTTAGTGATAACGTCCCGAATGTAACCTGAGAATTTTCAAACGCTAAACGTAGTTGCCTATATACTTAGTACTAAAATGGCTCCGTGTTCGATCCAGAAACTTGCAATTACATACGAGTATAATAAGAAATAGTGACCTGAAGAGAGGAATAGAATCAACTTTCGAAACGACGTAAGTGCCTGAATCAAATACTGAATACCTCAGACACGGGACAATTTCGATGACGTCTGTGATTTATCGTCTAGCGCATCCTTGCAAAAAATAAATGTAGCTAGTTAAAATACAGTATTCTCTCCAGCTGTGGAGAATCGTACAATACAAATATAATACGACTTTAATAAGAATATCCGGACTGAATGAAACATCAAACAGCCATCGGTCCGAAAACCGCAAGATTATATGCAGTGGTCTCGACAACCACAGCAGACACAGTGTACTGTCGAAAGCACATTCACACACCGAAATAAATACGAAAACCTCAAAGCTGCTTTCCAATATCTAGCAACAGAACACGTTACAAACCTCCGTTCAGGACGTAGAAATTCATACATATGCAGTGAACGCATTGGAAAGAGCTCGAGTTATAATGAAGGCGCATGCCAACGACAGATTCCACATCTCGACATAAAGCTGCTGACAGAAAATTCTGGATGCGGTTAAATGGATCGCAATTCACAATTCGCATAAGAAAGTTTTGCTAGCAACTGTGTTCGTGGTAGTAATGTAAACCGTGAAAGTTAAGTTTCATGTGGATGTCATGCTCGTTCGTCAGCCCCGTATATAATCAGAAGAAGAAACATACCTCTATGATGAAATTGGAAGTCAGAAGTTATATGTCTTAAAATCCCAGACAACAGGCCTGTTCAGATAAATATCAGAATTAAAATTAATTAAATATGAAGCAGAGATGGCTAGCAAAAACTTAACAGCTGCCGTTTAAGTCTTTCAAATGCTCCAAACGTACTAAAGTTATCGACAGTTGATCAAAGGATTAACAACACAGGCGAATATCTATAAAATCTGTGCATGTTATATTTTTACACAACCATCGCTTTCAACATATGAGTTAATAATGATGCTTTCTTAGCTGAATGGTTCTGACTGCACAGAATGGAAGTATAATAATAAATTATAAAATAGAAAGGACGTGTAAGGAATCGTCAAGGATTATCACAAGATTATATTCCAGAACTAGCCTAAAAGTCCAAGTCATATTATAATAAAATATTATATTAACGTTTGTTAAAAACTGTTCATGTATCAACAAATTTAATTTTAAAACCTCGCAGTTCAGGAGAAGGCATATAGTCTAAAAATAAAGCCTTGGTTTTTCCTCATGAATAATACACATCTTTCTTAGCTTAAGAAGCCAGTTAAAATTATTAAAGAGAACTGACAAAAACTTTTCGACTCCACATAGAATAACGAGTAGAATTTTAATAATCTTTTATCTCTTTTAATGAATATTGATGAGATAATTGTGAAAAGAATACGAAGTATTAATGTAGGCATGTCCGAGGAACATAAAGACAAGACCGATAAAATATAAATAGCAAAGAGATGTAAAGAATGTAAGTTTTGAGGTTTTCACAGCGGTGAGTATGAAGATTTCTGGTCATCGACCAGACTACACAGCGCAACAACCCCGAAGACAGAAATCTTCAGTTGTAAAGAAGTGAAAACAGGAACAGAATCAGAAGTTAAACAATGCGCTGCTCCGAAAATGCTAGAGGACAAAAGCTATGACAGCAGTTTCAGCTTGGAAGTTGCATTTTTACCCTTCTACATCACTGACTTCTACTACAAATTTTGTACAAAGTCTAACATGTTTACATAGTGAGTGCGGGAACCACATCAGGGGATGGAAGTTATGTTGATAGTTCCATCTTTAAAGTTTCTCCTTCTACGTTCACTACTTTGTTGTAAATTCCATTCGGAATATAATAAAGTGCTTTATTCACGTACATGCTACTGAGCTCACGAAGATAACTTTTATAAGAAGCCTGAACGGTGCAGAGTTCGCGGCCGGACAGAAAAGTGTCTTTTACATAAAAACACAATTTATAAAGCAGAAAAACTCGAAAACCTTATGACACACGGAATTTTATTTAAAACTTTAAAAGACGAACTTCGTGTAAATAATATTTTAAAAAGTCAGCTCCTACCGTAAAGAAACACACCGCGTTTCCATTACAAGGATAAATTAATTAATGCTCTTTAGGGAAATATTCATAGTTTTTTCTGAAGAATAATACGAAGCACTTAAATACACTACAGACAAAACTCAGAGTTACTGAATGACAAAGTATGTGATACATAAGCCTATAGTAAACACCGTGCTTTAAAAAGTTAACACAAAAACGTTTTATGACCTATAAAGCCCCTTCATATTCTTCATTTGTCTCTAATATAGCATATCATGCAATTGTAGCTACTCGAGCAGGTTTCTTGAGAATCAGTTCACAGGATTGGCAAGGTCTGACTGTTTTATCTGCATCACAAGGGCGAAACGATGGACTGAAGGGCTTGATGACTAAATCTGAGGAAAATGTAAGCACTGTATAAAAGCCTAAGGCAGGTTTGGAACTCGCGAACTCAGATTTCTTTCAGTTTACTCAGACAGATTATACTTGAGCATAGCGACACACTGTCTATGATTTTATTTGGTACATCTTCGCAAAAAACTAAAGATCCCGCGGATTGTGCGTTATGACAACCAATCCTGTTATCGTCTTATGTCCTTCACTTGCAAATATTTGCTGCTCCACACGTGGTCAAGTTCCGGTCCTTCTCGCAAAGTACATATATTTGTGTGCACTGAGGGTGGAAGCAGGTATCAAATTGCGTGGTACTGAACTCAGGCGACATAGGTAGCTTCCGAAGTGATCAGCCTATAACACGTTGAACAACTCTGTTACAAGATGACTGTCTTCTGGGTTGCAGCGCCGTATAGTCTTGTAGAAGTTTTCCGACGTTTTAGAGGTTATTGCTGCCCCCATCATCAAAGTGACGATAAAGGAGATAGCAGGTGGTTCTAAAACGTCGGTAAACTTCTACAAGACTGCACTACGCTACAGCCCCCGAAGTTGGTAATCTGCCCAATCGCCTCTTTAAGAACCTCAAATTCTGCTACACACGTCAAAACCAGAAATACCAACATCGACATTATCACCGCCTTGAGAAACTCACATTCCGTCTTTTCCTAGTCACGCATTTCAGTTTTGAATACGTCTTGCCTTTGTGATGTGTTTTTCGACCTGGCTCGGGGCTTGGGTAATAAAGTTCACCTTAAGAATGGACAAGCGACCGTAAAACGCAAAGCCGCGGATAAAGAACACATTTACAAAATCAAAATATATGTTTGCGTTTGCCAGGATATCAGATTCTTTCTCCTCTTTAGTGTGCATTCTTTTGAACTGTAAGATATTGGTCCACGAAGCCCGTAGCTGGCTCAGATAGTTATTACCGGGTCGCTCCCGCAGAACGACGGTGGGAGGAGTGCTTCCAACTGGCTCTGCAGAAATACTATTCCCAGTCACGAGCGACGTCATGAAGACAGTCTTATCATATGACGTCCATTCAGGGTCACAGTGAAATGCGGATGCATGACTTTTATATATGATTTATTAAACTACGCTTTCAGTAGTCCACACCCTATAGCGCTGAATGATAGGAGGATAGGATGATTTGATAACTGGAAATGTTACGTAAAGCAGCTGCCGTGGCCTAATTTAAGAACAATCTTGGAAGGACTGAGGAAAACCACCTAAAACCTCAATCACGTTAGCTGGTATCCGGGTCGGGATTTAAACCCAGGGACGTGCGGTCGAGATGTATTTTATACCTTCGTGATAATGTCAGGAATTAGCGGCCGACCCAAACACACAGAATAGAAATTACTGAAGACTGCACTTCACAATACGTATTCAAATTTCGCTTTCATGTACAATCAATAGCGCATATTTTAAACATGAAGCAGGATATAAAAGAGAAAATATATTTTTTGTAGCCAAAGCATGAATATTAAATAAGTAGAAACATTTATTACCACTGCAGTTAACCAGCTCCTGTGTTAGATAAACCGACATACAGCCTTATATACAACACATAACTAAATAGAAATATCAGACTTTTCATAAGAAAAGATCATAAGACAATTTGCAGTGAATAGTTTTCTCCAAAATTTATGCAAACATAGTGCAGAAGAACCCACCATTGTCTTAATTATATTTATCATCAGGCAGGAATATAGAGACGAAACTAGATAAGAGATAAGGCTGTATGATAACTGGGAGAAGAGGTAAAGAATTTGCTAATTTTGGAATTGTAGGCAGAGTTTTCTCTAAGGTCTTAGTCAGTAAAATATATGCCAAGGAGACAAACTACTCATATCAAAATCAAAACCTCCAATATCAGCATCCCATCCCGCCAATACATAGACAAAATAATAAAAAAATATGTGCCTATTTCAAGTAATACAGAACACAAAAAACAAATTTATTACATTAATTACTCAAAACTTGCCGACAGGGCAGTGAATTTCTTCACACTGATTGTAATACTAAGTCTGTTAACATTCTGACGATACATACGAACGAACTACGTGCTATCCAGCCCTTGTACACATTCTGTTCTTAGTTCACTCCCCAGGGGTACGTGGGTGGCTACGAAGTTTAATCCAGCTTCATAATTTGTAATGAGAGCAGGGTAGGGAATTTCCTACCACACTGATTATTGATTCGTCTAGCAGCAGGGACATAAACAGGGCTGGTGGGGGAAGAAGTGAGATGTGTTTCGTTATGAACAGCGAGCCTTGGCGGTTCCTCTGGTAATAAATCCACTCTCTACATTGTAACAAGCAAAGATTCGGGTGGGATATATGAAAAAGAGACGTGTTTTACGTACATGAAAAAGAGTCTTTTATACGATTCTCCAAAAATTTTGGCTATATCACAAAAATTAAATTCTAAGACCGAAACTGATTAGGATAGAACATAAATCTTTAGCAAGATTTCTAAACTCAAAGGACAACGCTTCGAAACATCTGGACGAACACAGCATATAATCTATGCGAGGGCTCATAACCAACTCCTTCTCGAGAAACTAGCTGTTGCTCATTTAGTTATTCACGCCTTCTTTGCAATACGGAGGTTTATTGTCGAGCTTGTAAGAGCCCGTCAACGCGAAATTTCCGATTGATTTCTGTCCATTTTATTCCTTCAGACACAAAATGCGCACGACTTCATGTATCAGCTAAGATAATGTTTCTGTGATCAGTACTGGACACAGCATGGAGGACCAGATAAAAAGTGCAGATAACAGATGGCCCTATATATCTGTAGTCCGACGGGAATAAAATAGAACAAATAAAGAACCAGCACAAAAAGCCACTTCCAAAAAACAACTTACACAATAAAGTACGAGAAAAGAGGAAACCTGGTAGACACAGAAGTATATGAAAAGATCCATTTATAAATGATTTTCCCTGTTGGCGAAACAGGTGTTGTAAATGAATAAAAAGAAGAAATGTAAAACTTTCCGAGAGTTAAGATTGTAATAATAATGCGATCTATTGAAATACTGCCTAATCAGACTCTTCCACAACCACCATTAACAATTATTCGTCACAATTATGTATAATAAACTAAGGTCAGAAGCAACTGTACACGTGAAACGCCAGAACTTGGTATTTAAACACATCTGCTCCTTCCGATGCCATTCGACTATGACCCACAAAAAAGGTTTCGAAACTTCATTCCGAATTCATCGACTTAACAGAATTAAGGTCGTGGTAGTTGTTAAGACAGATGCGCCCAGGAGTGAGCGACGGAAGAAGGGAAAAGGAAGAAGTGATGTGACGCTGGGCGTCGGTGAACAACAAGATAAAGCCGAAGTTACGTGACTTATCTTTCTATTCTCTGCAAACACGAGACTTTGAAAGGAAAACGAAGCTTCTGCATTTCAAAGTAAAATCAAATTATGCAGACCAAGATAGAGAAAGTATGTAAGTTATGTTACTTAAAAAGTGTTGTGGAAAAATACGTTAGAAGCGAGTTACTTTGTGTTGGATGTTCCCTCTGACGGAAAAAAAGACTTCCTTGGAATAATGGAACAGAATTAAGGTGGAAATGTTGCTACAAGAACTGCAAGACTTACAAACTAATTCTTATTGGTAATGGAGATTCCCAGCAAAATGTTAGCACTTATGCCTTAGTCTGGCAACTTGAACGTGCTTACGTTAAATTTTATTTGCATTTCCCTCACCTATCTCCATTTCCTTCACCTTTTATAACCTCAATAAATACGTCACTATAATCCTCATTCCGGTACTTATTTAACAATGCCTGAACTCAAAGGCTGGCAGCAACTCAAACAACTCTCTAAATTCAATTTAATAAAAATTTCCTTGGATATTATCCATCGTCTAGTAAATATAAAACGTAAAACGACGTTTCGGAGATGGGACTCTATCTCCGTCTTCAGGTTCCTATACAGTTGGGCCCACTAGATAGAGCTAATCCCTATCTCCGGAGATATATTTACTAGACGATGGATAATATCCAAGGAAATTTTTATTCAATTGACTCTTCACCATCGTCAAGAAGTTTTAGATTTGATAAACTCTCTAAAGGTTTAAGTCAGTCATGCAATAATTATTTCGCACATTAACTACTGATTAGAGTACCAGGCCACTTTAAACATTGTGCATCTTTTACATTTTTATGCTGGGAGAAACATCTTGAAACAATTATTTACTGCTTAATATTCTGAGACATACGTTTATACTGACATTCTTGAATTTACAAAACGTATGCCTGATTTACCTCTGAAACTAAAATGAAAACTAAGTATCATCTAGCGTTTTCAGGAACACGTGTTGTCATTAAGTCTACATAGGCAGGTAACACCTTTCTAATTTGGTCAGACTATCAAGGCGAAGCTAATGCAAAATCAAAATGCTGGTTTTACTAGAGAATATTCTGAAATTTTTCCATTTCAATGTAATATTTATCGTGCTTTTTAAAATTTTATTCTATAGGAATTACATCTCCAAATGTAATATTTATCGTGCTTTTTAAAAATTTATTCTATACGAATTACGTCTCCCTTGAAATATATTAACAATTGGATAATTACGAAATTTCAGAAATGTACATGAACAGTTTTTCTCTGAATAGACACGGTGTGAGATTCTTCAGAAGTAATTGGTTGTTTCTTGTTTTTCTTCTCTGTCTCCTGCAGACAGAGAAGCACTAATGAGAATGAACAATGGAGAACTGATGAATGAAAATAAAGATAAATAGCAGCTAAATCTGATCTAGCCATCACAAACACAACCATAATTCGATATTTGCTGAATACGCGTCTGTAAAGTGAACGGGTGGTACTGTAGTATCGATTCTGAGTGACTGTGAAATTGAAGTACAGAACAACACAAAAACTTCGAACTCTATGTTATTCATTCTCTCATTGGAGTCATCTGATCTGTACTATAATCATCAATATTAAATAAAAATTGTTCATGAAACAAAAATATCAAGGTTAAATGCTTTATTTGCATTTATACATAATTTACACACAAAGAACATATATTGTAACTTGTGTTTAAATTAAAAGCAATATAGACCCATGCACATAAGTAGCCCCAAAAGTAGGCTAAAGTCGGAAAAACAACATCGACGCGAATTTGTTTAACAACGTTGCATGTCTAACAAAGCTGGGAAACTGCTACTGTCAAATAACGTTGTAATCAGACCAAATATTACGAAATCTGTTCTAATAGACTTGTATACAGTGACCAAAGTAATTTAACATTACTAATAGTGCATCTCGCGTTTAAGGATGAAAGCGGTAATAAACAGCTGCAGATAATTGCTAATAGTGCATCTCGCGTTTAAGGATGGAAGCGGTAATAAACAGCTGCCGATAATTTTTTCTTGTTCCGAGAATTAAACTACTGTGTTAAACAGCTGTGCTGTGCTGTCTTCAAATTAAAGTTGTTTGATGTATCTGATATTTTATAAATATTGCATCAATAAATTGTCCCCTTCCACATCTAACTAACACCATGAAACAGAGTCCTTCTCAAGCTGCTGGCATCGATCTAGTCATTCAATAATTCCCTGCCTTTTACGGAATCTAAAAAGTTCATTGCCATGCTCAAAACAGTCCATCACCAGTCCACATCTTGATCCATATTAATCCAGTTCACACCCTCCCACTCTATTCCCTTAAGATTAACTTTAATATTGTAGCTCCATACATGCCTATGTCTTCCAAATGATCTCCGCTTATGATTCCCAACCAAAATTGTATACGATATTCTCGTCCCTGGCATGCTTGTTACTTAAAATTTCACCGCCCTTGATTTAAAACTCCTAACAAAATCTGAAGAAGAGAAGGCCCATGCATGTCAAAGCTCTCCAGCGAGTCTGCGACTGTTTCAGGAAAGGTTATTGCTGTCAGTACTGCCAGAGCATGTGGCTGTCAAGATGAGGCAAGATCTTGGGTCCTCCAAGGACAGTCAGTTCAAGAAAATCTACATGAGTCGCCACGAAAACGTCAGGTAAGAACATCATCATTCAGAAATTCACCAAAATATGTAGCCATTGTACCAATTCATAATTCACTAGTTAAATCTATTTATACGTCGTTGATTCGCATGTTTCCATATATAAGCTGTTTTCGTTCTTGCGGACGTCCCTTAATTACGCGCCGCGGCTTCGAATACACGCGGTTCCTTCTCCTTCTCGCTGCTCGCTTCAGAGGTCCGACACCTTCATGTTCGAAATAGAAGGTTGCACACATGGAAGGATCAGTAATGTCCCTTGCAGCATCCTAATACAGAATAAATAGACCTGTGTTTTAAATGAATGCTGGGCACAAGAAATCTGGATATAAACAGTAGAGAGATAGAATACGCTACAGTAAAATTTACATTTTTAAGGTTTAGTAGTTCATATTAGCAGATTATGCAAATTAAATATTAATTTAAAAATAATACTCTAGAAATCACCGTAAATATTCCTAGGTGCATTAATAATCGTCTCTATGTCTAAACTATGCTAGAGACATGGAAATGAATACCAATTTATGTAAACAAGAGTATGAAATTAAAATTAGCAAAGTTGCACTCTCTTTATAGTAAGGGTGTTGAATAGAATAAAAAACAAATTATTTTCAGATGGAAATAAGAGACATGTTCGGGGGAAAACAGGAAAGGCGATTTAGGAAAAAGATTCACAGGTGAACAAGTGTGAATAATGAATTAGATGTCTCCACAGACGTGAAGAATAGGAAGACGGACCAAGATGGAAATTAACAGAGACAAAAAAGTGGGCGGTGGGATTAGCGACTGCAGTGGAATTACTAACACGTAAAGAATCAAGGATGAAAAAATTTCAATTCAATTAATTTAATAATAATGATAATTTGACCGACGGGACAAATACTTTACAAGTTTTAGTGCACCCTGGTGAAGAAGCAACGCAGTGAGTGGCTAAACTGATAGCGTTACTGACATAAATTCAACAATTATTTTCTAAAACTATTATTCCTCTGCTTTGAAAATCTTTAAATAACTCCACGGATCATAGTCCTTGTTCAAAAGGTAACAATCTATCAGATATTTATGAAATTACCTTATTCACAATAGCAGTCCCTATCCTGGGTCAAATGCATCCAGGTCACATCCTCCCATCCCATTATTTTACGATCCACTTACATTGCACAAAATTGTACGCTACAGACTGAGATCACATTTTGCAGTCGGACATTTCCAAGTGACCAGCTTATGGGCCTAATGCACTGCACAGAGACTTCCACGTTACGAATAAGCTTAGACATCAAGGCAGGATTCAGTGATAACCAAATAGATTTCCAGAATAGATTTCATCTCTCAAAAGCGTCCTCAGAACTCCTAATCCCTCCCACCTCCGGTTAGTACGCTTTTAGATGATGCAGTCTGAATGTGGTATTCCGTGATAGCACATATATATCCTTACCTATTCCCCATAAAAAATGGTAGTCTAGTTTCATTTGACACTATAATAATCTACAGTTAAAACAAAGTCGATAAAATTATAAGAATTGCTACACTGTCGAACAAGTCAGTGAACATTTACCTTAATTATTATTATTATTATTGTTGTTTTTTATATGCAACCAGGACGATGTCATTACGCAGAGCAGAAAGCAAACTTTGGCTGCATATATCCAACTCGTAAGGGCCATGTTCCCTTTAAGTGGAAACTATCGACTTTTCCAAAAACTTTCCAAAACCTGACTTACTACGACCATTTTATGTGATGAAGCTCTGACTTACAGAGATATATAGAGGCAATACTTTTCAGGTACTCCTTCCATTTACCGGCAAGTGGCAACATCTTTGATGTTTGCTGTCGTCTTGCTGGCAACACTATTCCGTCTATCTTTCTTCAAACTCTCTCTTTGTGCTAAAAAGTTTCTCTTTCATCTCCACATCAGATAGCAGCAGCTGCAGTTAGTGGCAGTTGCAAATATTCATGAAAATAACATAATAGAGTGTAACATTTACGAACTTTTAAGCATATTCCCGACTTTCCTACTCGCAAAAAATGTTTCTATTGAATAAATTACTTAAACTTAAAGTTCTTGCTTTGTTTGCCATAACATTTTGCTATAATAACAATAATGATATTAAAGCTCCGTGCACAGCAAATATTACTGTTGAAAACATATGCTACTAACAGTTTCATTAACTAAAGTTACACGATTAGTCGGAAAATTGTTGATAAAAAAATGTTTCTGAAAAAAAATTCCAAACTGTTTCAGACTTTCAATTTCTGTCTGGACGTTCATGTTTGTAACCTCTGTTATAACACTGCTGACAAAAACTGTTTATATAACAATACTGTCAACAGTTTATTTAGTTGTGGATGAAGCTTAACAAGTGCCATGCAATGAAGCACATTGCAGAAACTGAGGTCAAACTCCATGCATGTAAATGAGTTATAAATTTCGCTCTCCGGCTACATTACCCCTGAAGAAAGGACAGCCTCATCTGTCCTTCTTACTGAACCACATTAATCAGCCTCTTCACTCACAAAAATATTCCGGCTTTGCCATAATTATGATCGCAACAACAAGACGCCTGTACCACGTAACAACAAATAGGTGAACAATTTTAAGGTACACACATTTCGTTAATATTGACAGTTCAGGCGAACTTACAGGCAGTCAAGAACCAGAGTTTCTAACGTAACTTAAAGCAACTTAATTTAAGCAATTTAACTTAAAGTAACCTAGCTTAAATTAACTTAACTTTAAGTAACTTAACTTACAGTAAGTTAACTTAAAGTGCCTTAACATAAAGTAACATACACAGTACATACACACAAACACACATATGTTTCATGAAAAATCTGTTTTTTATTGGCTCAATCGTAAGAATAAAAATAAAATATGCAACTAAAAAATATGTACCACGAAAGGACTCCGCCCCCAATATTACCGCGTAGCTCTAAGTCATCAGTACATCATTACCAGCTTCGCTACGCTGCAAGGTGTGAGCCGTCTTCAATCTCCTGTCTCCGCTCCTCGCTTTGTAACGTTGTACTATTTTTCTCTGACACTGGCGATGGCTAGTTAAGATCATCCACGGTGTATCAACATCAAAAGCAACATAATTTTGTTACATAATTCTGCTTCTCTATGCGACATTCGTAGTTTCTTTCAAACATAATTTTTGTTCGTTTTCTCTCTGTAAGTTCCTCGCTGATCGATATTTTTTAATATTCATGCACGTACCCAGGCTATTCTGACTTCATCCAATGCTTTAATCGCAAATCCCATTACTCACAACGTCACTATCATTTATTACTGTCAGGAGTGACACCACGTTCTCCCACTAGACGTCTGTCTGGTCGACAGGTAGATACTAACGGGACATTTCTATTGTTATCTTCCAGTTGTACTGTAAATAAACTTTGCATCCTAACAATACCGCTCTCTGACCATGGAGGAATATTTCCGCTCCGTATTGTGCGCGATATCTCTTCTTGCATTTCCGGTGGAGATGCACAATGTGTGGTCTAACACATATAATTCATGCAGAAGATAATGCAAAACCAACTGTGCGATCTTCAACTGTTTAAAAATATAAATATGGTAGAGTTTGAACTCCTAAATTGTCAGTAGCAGCCACCAGATCAATAAGATAGAATGAAAAAACGAAATGTTTCTGTTACATAACACGATAGTTGAATATTTATAATATCAATGCCTTAGCATTGCGATCCAACTGATGGGGAAATATGATAATACTGCATTTCCGTAGGACACGCCTTCTAGGCTTCTAGGCTATTCCGAAGATCATAATCGCCTTCATTCATTCTGCTAAGATTATGAAGCACGTAAATGCTGGACATGCCAGCACACTGTGAAATCTGTCACTCTGTTGCAGTATCCTGTACGCAGATATCGTGGGTTTTACCGCCATATCTTCAACGTACTCTGCCTCTGAGCTGGTCAAGATACTCAACGAGCTTTTTGCAAGATTTGACAGATTATCAGAGGCAAGTATCCAATTCTGCAATGTTAAGTAGTTTTCTTCTTACCTTTAATCCAATAGCATAAACTGTTTTAGAAACCTAAGAAAAATCGGGACATTTATTCCATGAGAATGTTTACAAAAATTATTATTTTAACCTTTTAAAACTTAGTGGCTTCTAGACCACCTGCTTTAACAATAAATAACTCTTAATTTTCCATAAAATGTATTTATGTATTATCGTACGATTATCAGAATAAACAGCGACTATTTCCTTAAATAGCATTAACGAAGTTATCTAAAATACAAAGGCGTTGTTTTATTTGAGGTAAAAATTAAATTTTTAAAGATGAAACTTTTCTGGAATTTTGCGCCGTGTAGTAACGTAGAAACTGACCGACGTTTCAGAGGTGTGTACTGTGTTCACCATCACGGCAATGACGTATAGACCGTTATCGCCCAAACCACGCAGCTTACGCGCTATCCAGCTGAAAGTGCGTCTCGCACTAGTTGACTCCGGATCTAAGATCAGGCTGGCGGCTCCATGATAAAGGGATGTGAATCCCCTGTTTCCGTATGGCAAATGTCACTATTAGAAAAATTAATAAAAATGTAATGTGAAAAAACAATAACAGAAGCAAAGACGGGAGAAGTGTCATCTCCCGAAACACTGTGTATTTTAGCTGCAAAGAATTGTGGGTGCTAGATCCACGTCCTACCGACAAGACAAACTTCAAACGTACCCTTCTCGAGGGTCTGTCCCAAAAGACAACAATTTTCACACTTGCCGCTGTGAGAACCTGAAATCTCACCTGAAACTGATAGGCTTACACTGAAACAAAAACCAGTCAGTAACTGAGAAAGTTCCGGAGTGCTGTCGCGAAATATAATTGGTCAATATTTTTCGCACGTCTAGAAAGAAACGTTGCGACCTGGCTGTGTGGCATTTTTTGTAGTGAATGGTCAACTTTTCAAGCGCTGTCCTAAGTTAGCGTTATTTAATAACCCTTCAGCATGTTAGTATGTGAGCAATCTAGATAGAATAGCAGAAAACATACTCTTTTCTTTCCTGTTTCAGCGCTACCAGCAGCTGAGGATCAAGATTCTGGGTGACTGTTACTACTGTATCAGCGGGGCTCCACGAGAAAGACCAGACCACGCTGTGCTCTGTGTCCATATGGGACTCTCTATGGTCAAGGCTATAAAGTAAGTAGAGATACGTATCGATCTTGTTTTAGCATCGAAGTTATGGATGGTAGCGCGTAACTCCATACAAGCGTATATTAAAGGTTTTATTTATGTGCTCCGAAGTAATAAAATACGCTAATCCGGATTATTGTTTAGTAACATGTTACAAAATGCCAATGAAGGAAACATAAATTATGTCGAAATTGAGAAAATGGACATCCACTGTACACGGAACCGCAGATACACTTTTAGCTAAGTTACAAACCGATATATTTGCCTGCCTTCTGGAATGTTACACAATGCACACTGAAGATACTTTTTAAGAGCCTTTGGTTCTTGGTTTTATTGCTTGCATTTTATTTTTGACTGTTACACTGATTTCAAATTTTGTTTCGTAGTTTGTTAAATACTTTAACATCGAATGCGAGGATGACTGAACGAAGAACTGGGAGTATCCTGGAAGAAACATACAGTGACTCAGTAATAATATTACCTCAGTAGTTGCTTGGTTGGGATGAGGCCTAAAAGAACATGCCATGCAAATAGGCCAGTGACTCAGTAATAATATTACCTCAGCAGTTGCTTGGTTTGGATGAGGCCTAAAAGAACATTCCATGCAAATAGGTTAGAATATGAAACAGTTGTTGGCATCTGCGAGCAAAATTACGTTAAGACAGACGCCAAAATTTTAAGATGTTGCTTTCGGCTTCAGAATTCACAGCTGCATCCATAAAAGCAGGTTTTTTAAACATCTCTAAACCTTCCTTCTCCAATCTGTCAGTAATTGATGGTTTAAAAATGGTGGGGGTTTGGGGTTCAGCTGCTCATTATAGCGAGGGCTTGATCTTATGAAAGAGCTCTGAAATGCTACAAACACTTTGCAGGTCGAATGTGCAGTCCAGCACTAACAACTTGTATGTCAGTAATGTAATTAGTTGACAGTACGCTCGTCGCCAGCTGGGGAACAACGCGACCGCGCTCCTGTGACGTTCATTACGTTGAATCAGCGCGAAGAGGTAGGGCGACGTTACAATTAAACTGAGTTCGGGGCAGATTCGCAGCGGAGAGAGGGAAAGGACAGAGGAAACATCAATTTCCTGTTTGTTACAAGTCATCTGCACTTCAGAAAGGGAACAAATACACACTTGAAGTGTACACATCTAAGCGAATGGAAGTACGGTTCATGACCTAAATTATGATGAAACAGAATACAAGTGTATTCACAACTTCTGAAATACCACGTTAAAACCGCATACTTACTAATGTTATCACTGATTAGACGAGAAAGATTTCATAACGAGAGGATAAAATGTGTATTCAAATATTACGGCTTATTTGTAACTATTTCGTTCTCTTTGACGCTTCTGTCCAACAAATTTCAAAATTCCCACTTCACTTTGCCCCCGGAATTAAATCGCGGATGAAACTTTGGTAAATCGTACAAAATTATCCTCAAACGATGATACAGTTGCATCATCTTAATTGAAACAGGCATCTCTACATACGAATCGTGTTTACATTTATGCAAGAAGGACCTTCAAAATCTGTTGAAACATGGAAAATCACAGTGAAAGTTATACTTCGCTAAAGTACAAACATTTTACACATACGTTTATTGATTTTTCCTCACACACAATAGATAATGAGGTTCATTTATTGCAAATAAAAAATCCGCTGACACAAAGCTAATATCGCTGAACACATTAAACTACAGATAGACAGGACTTTTTTCTATATTTTGACAGATATTCATCGTGTCAAAAAAAAGTATCAAATGAAAATGTTATACCTCATGGAAATCCGTACGCTACGTCACTGACGAATTTTATTTGGGACGAAAGGTTTAAAAATAAGTTTTCACTGAGATTCTACGGGTCGAAATTTTAAACAAGGACCTCCCAAATACGAAGCAGCAGCAGTGCTAACTAAGTGGCCGCGACGTTAGTTTCCATATGGAAATTAGAGTGAATTCCGATAGCAACTTTTCACACACAATTTCATCTCGAATCTCTCCAGTTTCAGATTTTACGAACTACCAAGTCCTAGTTGACATTTCAGGTTCTCACTATAGACGTTCACCAGCATCTCAGTGTGCTTACTGCGTTCATCATCAGTGTTATCAAAGCACCACAGCCCTGAAGATGGTGGCAGTAATAACCTCTGAGCCGTTGACAAAATTTCACCAGACTACAAGGCGCAACATCCCAGTCTTCTTTTGTGTAGGCCTACATATTCAGACACATGAACAGACGTTATGTAACAGTAAAGGAACATGTCTGCGTTGTTCCTTTACGTCAGCAGTGCCGTTTATGCCACTTTGATTCTGAGTTGTCATTTGTTCCGGCCGAAGAAACGGATCGATTGCGTCCCTCAGGGACTACGTAGGTCTAGAGACAAGTTCATTACATATTTTAATGGTAAGGAGTTCGTTTTTGTGCCACGACAGAGAATTGAGGTCTTCAATGAAGTCTAAGCTAACTCAATGAATTTTATTTTTCGGCGAATATGTATCATTTCTACGGATAACACGATAATTCAATGTTAATTTAAAGAAACGCTGGTTTGGGAACGCCAGTCCGTTGCATGTGTACTTGAAATTCAAGCTGCATGTGTAATTCGATAAAAGAAACGCGGAATATATCAACTTCAAAGTTTCATAAACTGACCTATTTCTGTAAAACAAATCAAGGTAATTAATTAAGGAAAACTGTCAGGATAGCTGATGTCCGGGCTGAGATTTTAACCAGTGACCTCAAAATACGAAGCAGAAATACGAATCATTCAGTCGCGACATTCGGTTAGAATTGAACAAATTGCATAGCGGTTTAAATACTGTAATTTTAAACTAGCATTTGTTTTAAGAATACGAAGTATGAAAAATTGAATATAACCTTTTAAATATTACACTTTTGATGCAACACATAAAACATTTTGGTAATGTCCTCTTTACCTTAGTAAGGCAACAAACCGAAGGCTGTTGCTAATGGGAAAAATAATTGAATTCGTCTGCCGGTCTGGTAGTCACCATGTAAATATCAACCTTTATACAACAATTTTCATCCACATGTCATCACCCTCACTTTAATACACATAATTTTTAAACAGACAAGCAACCACAAGGCAAAATGCGAACATTAATTCAAATATAAAGAGGATACAGAAAGCAAATTACACATTTTAGGTGAAGAAAATTGATTTTATCTAACCCCATGAAGCTTAAATGCTTGTGAAAAGGTTGAAAGTCATTCATCTTGCAATAAAATTTTAGTGATATTTCATGTTTTCGCGGCGGTGTTAGACGACGTCTTCCGGGATGTTGCGGCGTTTAAATATCGCGGAAACCGACAGACTTTCAGATATACCTGCTGCCTCCATTATCAGTAAAATCACCTCCGAGAATCTCTGAAACGTCTGTCAATTTCTACGAGTTTACACGGCGCAACACATCAAAAGACAAAGTCATCTTCTAAGAAGTTTTAGTGCCGCGATCACAAGAGACCGCCGCTGGATTATATTCTAAGCCAGATGAATTCAATCATTCATCACCCTTTGGCAGTATCGTCACATGACATTTACAAGACTTGCCATCCTGAGATGCCAAGGCCGTGAGTGGTATGACATTCTTACGTTTCGGAACCTGAATATAACCATGTTCAAGAATAATTCTGTTCTCTTTCACACTGCACGAACTTTCATGTGTCACGTAAGAGAATTCAATCCCCTATTATTGTTTATGACAGTTAACACAACACACACGTACTTACAACTAGTAAGTACGAATTTATTTGCACTGAATTTTTTTTTAAATAAATGTATTTGAATAAAATCTGGATTATACAGAGTATACACAAAAGAATGGTGCGGTTTCAAAAGTTAATAAAAACCTATTTCTCACCTTACACCTTATGTTGTGCCCGTGTAAGGTGAGAAATAAATTTCTTATTAACTTTTGAAACCGCGTCATTCTTTTGTGTACACCCTATATAAAGGGCACTTTAGCCTGTAGTAGCATATAATTGATATTATCCTCCTTCAATGTGGATCGATAGCCGAGGACGCTGAAGAATACGAGGAAAATGCTATGAAAATGAGGGGAAAAAAAGGACGATAATTTGACAAAGAAGGAAGACGATTCTGCGAAACACAAAGAAATAAATTAATGCTATTTCATGCGCGTCACTCAGTAATAACACGAAATTCTTAGACAGGACTGTTGGAGTCAAGTCGGATTATCACGGATCCCTAAATCAGAAGGAAAAACGTAGCAGAAATTCAGCTTGTCGCTGATATCGGTCGGATACAGTGAGGTCCCCTGGCATGGGTAAAGCGAGCTCTAACCTGATTCTCCTTGTTAAACTCATGTAACTTGCATCTCCACTCTATTTGTCGTCATGGTAACCGCACGGGTTCCGTATGGCTATAAACCGTACATATGAATTAAATTGGACTATTCGCATCAGTCACACACAATATCCTGAACAGTGTGACTTGAAATGCCATGTGCGCTTTTGTTGAAAGCAATCTGCTGTGAACTGCAGCAAACGTTTAGCCATTCACGTGTCATTGCTTCATACCTGCATGATGCCCCTGAACCCATTCATAGAGTAACGGGTGTACAGTAACCAGTGTGTCAGAAGAAACATTACAGATACCCGCTGAGTTTTAAGTCACCCAAATTTAGTCTTTAAACCTCGGCGGGAAACAGAAACTGAACGTATGTCTCTGCGAACTCGAAGTGATGAGGAGAACAAATGAACAAGAGAGACAGAGAGGAAGAAACAACTTAGAAACACAGAAAATTGCATAAAAAGACCGTGACTATTTGTAATCTCCTTTTGGTGTTGAATGCTTCAAGGTTTATACTGGTTTGGGCATGTTGCCCAATAGGAGAAACAGAAAGTCATATAATATTTTGGTTAGAACACTTAACTGGAAGAAATTACCTGAGGAAATTATACTAAATCAGTGAGAGTCATATGGTTGTCTCTTGTTTTAACAAATGATGGACCCTAGTAGAG